CCTGAGGACTGAAATATAGTTCCATTGGATAGTATTTGTCTGGTATACATGGAATCCTTGGTTTGATCCCATCACTGTATCAATTTGGTGCCTTGGTTCATGTCTGTAATCCTCACCCTCAGGACATGGAGGATCAAAATTCAAGATCATTCTTTCTTTTTTGGTCTTTTGGAGACAAGGTCTCTCTGTAGCCCCAGCTGTCCTGGAACTCACTGTGTATATCAAGCTGACCTAGGACTCACAGAGATCTGAGATCTGCCTGCCTGTGTCTCCCAAGTGTTGGAAGGAAAGGTGTGTGTCACCATGTCCAGCTTTCATGATCATTCTTGAGACATAGTGAATTTCAGGTCAGCCTGGGTTTTAACGGCCCCTGAACAAAACAGGCAAACAAACAAGTTCTGACAGCAGAGTTTATCCAGGCTTTCCATTACAAGCACGTCTCGGGTGGCATGCCCACTCTCTGTCAGAGCAGCAACACCCCACCCCAGCATCTGATACCTTCCTAAGACCTGTGTGCTCAGTATGCCGCATGGCCATCCTATTTCTTCCCTATCGACTTGATTCATACTTCTCTCTGAGAAGATCACATGGTGGGATACTCCTTGGAAACCAGACCCGCACTTAGTGCTGTGAGCTCAGTCATGTTCATCCTCCACACAGTCATCAATACCAGGAAGAAGAGGCCCTGCCAGCTCCTGGTGGAATGAGCTCCATGTGATGGTCTTGTTTTAGAGGACTGAGTCATCAATACATGGCATCACATCAGCCCTCTCTGGTGTCCATGCCTCACATCTTCACCACAGCAGTACAACTTGTCCCTGTTGGAAAGCCCCTCAGCAGGAACATGACCACACCTGTCTTCCATCCTTGTCCTGTGGTCACCTCATTCATGGTTCACTGTTCATGCATCACAGTCACAGAGCACACAACACTGCTGTAATAATCCTGTCATCCTGCATGTCCATCAGTGCCCGTCCACATGAAGATTGCTCCTCTTGCTGTTCAGGGTCAGGCTCATGGTGGGAAACAGGTTTCTCTGTTGTCATCCAGTTTCAGTCTTCAGCAGATTCTATGTCTGGGTCTTGAGGGTGGGGCTCTCTGGGTGTTTGTGTGGTAGGTCCCCTGGCAGGCACAGGGCACCTTGAGTGTTTGGTAGGTTTGGGCAGTGAGTGACTTCCTGTCCTTCTCCCATCATCTGACTGTAGATTCAGATGATTTTTTGGTTTCATCGTGAGAAGTCTTGCAATGCACCACTGTCCAGACCCCACTTCTTTAATTCTCAGCACTATGGGAATCAGCAGGTGCAAACTCTCTTACCAGTTTCTGAGGAAAGTCCATCATGACCACATACTGTGGAGTAAACCATCCATCAATAGCTGTTCATCTTTCTACCCTGAGCTCAAGTCTTTCCTTATTGTAGATGCACAACTACATAGGGTCTCAGATAAAGCTACTCTTCCCAATCAGATCAAATCAGCTTTCCAATGTCGAGGATTTTTCCTAGAGACATGAGGGACACTCCCAGTAACTACCCCTCAGTGACTATTCCAGCCTGTTCCCCATGACCCAGGCCTATTGGCTGAGTGTTAGGCTGTGCTTCTCTGTGCCCTGGAGTCCAGGGCTCACTGGGGAAAGTACTGTTTTTTTGAATAAGAGGCTCCATCCTGTGGTCCCCATTGGGGTCTTTCTCTTGTTCTGCCTTCAGTCAGCATGTAGCATTTTGTTTGGTAAAGTTGAATCTGGGGCTTCTGAGCGTTTCATAGGACAGCTACCTCCTGTGGTTCACAGATGCTGCATCTCTAGTGTTTAGATCCTTTCCAGGTCATGGTGTTTCCTGTCTGTTCAGGGAGCAATGGTGAAGGTGAGGAGAAGAGCTGCAGGGCTGGTAACACAGCAGTTTCCCAGGACAGAGAGTCCAGGGACCAGTGACCTTATCCTGTGCTCTTCATGAAGGTCCTGCATCATCAAAGGCCCCAGACAGTGCCAAGAGAACCCAGAGCTGAGAGATCAGGTTGTGGCCACCCTAGAAAAAGACCCTACCCTATCATGTGAGGAATATGTGCTTTTTGAAGCAGCTTTGGAACTGACAAGAGCCTGGTGATTTGATGATCTCACAGTAGACCTGAGGGTGTGTTCATGAAGTTTCCATTACTGTGAAAATTACCCCAAATAAAGTGAAGGTGAAAACAGGTTGATTTGGGCTCATGGTTCAGAGAACTCAGTTCACATGGACTGGGTGCATTGGTCCTGGATGGAGGTACAACAGAACTGTATGACTTAATGGGTGAGGGGAGGAAAGTACTTAGTAAGAGGAGAAGCAGGGAGAAGAGGAGGGGAACAAGACAAACGTCCCCTTCAGTGGCCCACTGCCACGAATTAGCTGTTCAATGGCCCACTGCCACGACTTAGCTGACTTCAATCTTTCCACACTTCTTCGATATCAGTATCTTCTCAAGGTAGAACAAAATGCGAAGGCAGCCTATAGCTGATGGTCCATCTGGTTAGTTTATAAACAATGCAGTCCTGGTGTTGGTGATGGCTGCTCTGGGTAGAACATGTGCTGTGTGTCCCCTGGCAGGAAGTGTTTGGATGTACCATGTCTGTGGCCCTTCCATCATAGTGTGAGTTTACACAGTGCTCAGAGTGCATCCAGCAGAGGTGTCCCTGGATCACAGAGCAGCAGGGCCAGAGCCTTGTGTGAAGGAGGAGGTATCCTGAAGTGGGAGATTCATCACCACCAACCAGGTCGGCTCTAGAATGAATCTGCATTGTCCACGAGGCCCACAGGTTAGAAGATTGCTTCTCAGTGTGGCTTCATTGGAACTTGGTGAAACTCCTGATGAGATGTGGTTTTAAAATTGTGAGCCAAAAGTTTTTCCATAATTTTAAGTCTAAATCACAATCTCATATAATATTCTCTTTCAGTGTTTATTTTGTTTGTCCTCATGGTGAAACTGATTAATACACAAATTGGTACAGCTGTGTTTTCTTCTGTTACTACACCTGAGATAATGTGGATCAGACTTAATGTTTGTCAAGTGGAATTATGAACAACCGAAATGGGCTAGAGAAAGACTGGAATACCATAAGCAGATCTTAATGGGCAGTTGTGATGGGGGATCACAAGACCAGAATGCAGCCCCTGTGCAGTCAGTGAAAAATATGCTCACTCGGTTTTAGGTGAAAGTGAA